GTTTTAAAGTTAAAAACGAATATTTTATTATCTGAATTTATAATGTATGACTGATACCATGATATAGTTAAGAATCTTCTTTTCACAATTATAAGTTCTTTAACTTGAAAAATATTGTCACTTTAGCATACATGAGATGATATTGTATGATTTTTTTTTTCAAATTTTGAAAATACAAAATAACGACAACTAATATTGTAATGTAATAAAAATAGTTTTTGTTAATCTTTACCACACAACTAGGTGTATGGCAAGGGTCGGCAAACTTTTTTGATCATTGACCCCCTACAAATTTTTGAAACCTCACATCCACCAAAACCCACCAAAATATTTGTGTTACAAGCACAAAACAAAGTACTTACTATTTTAATACATTTCTTTTAATTTTGGATTTTTTTTCATTTATTGTATATTTGTTAATAATAATTTTTGTAACCGACAATCAGTGAGACAAATAAGCTTGATCTTCAGCTTCCCCTTATCCTTAGCTTAAGCTTGATAATCGACCCCCCCAATAATGTTATATCAACCCTTGGGGTCAATATTACCCCCTTTGGCGACCCCTGGTGTACAGGTAGACACTGGGCTTTTTTACATCACTCTACTCTGCAATATCTTAGTCTCTGATATGTATTTCAGGCATATGCCCAAAACATGTATCGACACCTAAGATATAAAAAAAAGGCATGGTTTCAGAAAAAATCAAAAAGAAAAATAGTTTTATTTTTTAGTGTTAATTTAAAAATTATTTTGATAAGTTTCTACAGATAAATGATTCAAACTTATTATTTAATTTTTAAATGTACTGTTTTAAAAATCTGTTATTGATTATATTATTCACATTCTGAAAATATTTAAGCTATAAATAAAATTAACTGATATGAGCACTTGTTTTTATTCCAAACTTGAATTGAAAAAAGCAAATTTATTGCAGTATCTATTGTTTTGTTTTTTAAAATTTATAGCAACCAAAGCAGAACGTGGTGATTTTGGTATACCTGGAAGGGATGGATTGTCAGGAAGACCTGGAAGGAAAGGAGAAGCAGGTGTTCCTGGTTTACCAGGACCAACTGGACAAAAAGGAATTCCAGGTTTTAGCATTCCAGGATTTAAAGGAGAAAGAGGAAATACTGGTGCACCTGGTCTTCCAGGCTTTGATGGTGTATCTGGTATTAAAGGAGAAAAAGGATATCCTGGGTATCCTGGAACTAAAGGAGAACAAGGTGGTATTGGTTTTCCTGGACTTTCAATACCTGGATTTCCAGGTTTGGATGGCTTACCGGTTTGTATTTTTTAAAATATACTTTGAATTTCATAAAAATATTTAAAATTAAGAATTAAAATATTGATTGAAAAATTAACAATGTAATATATTAGATACTATCTATGTTAAATAAACAGAATTATGAAAAAATGTCTTAGACAATGAATAGAAGCTATGTAATGAATTCTTTCTGGAAAATCTTTTCATGTGGAATCAATGAAAATAGATATTTCTATTGATTTTTGATGAGATGTTTTAGAATGTAAAGCAATCACAATGTAATTAAATAATATTTCCTAACATTTTAGTCAGAAACCTCTTTTTAACATTTTGAAATTAGAATTCATGATTTTAATTTCGAAATTAAATTAATGAAATTAATTGCTTCATAACTAAACAAAATTCTGTATTCTGGATATTTGGTATCTGATTGGATTAGTCATCTGGCTTATCAATCTATGAAAATCTTATCATACTAATTTATATTTTAAGTAGGAACTAATAACTGTTAATTTGAAAATACTATCTGAAATTTGAAAATTTCACAATAAATAATAATAATATCTTGTAAAATTTTGAAACATCCTAATCTATACTTGCATCGTGCCTATGATAGTGCTATCGTTCGGACAGTCCGGGAATCGGCTCGCCGGGTGAACTAGTAACTTTTTCATCTGAGGAGTTCCTGCGAAACCTGTTGACCTTTTTTTTTTTTCTTTTTGCTTGTACGATTCATTCGCATTCATATACACCACTAATATCCAATAGAACTATTTTAAACAGGTCGCTGCACTGCCACTGAATTTTTCATTGCTTGTTGTGTGACAAACCTGAATTTTGGTCTTTTAAATTGAAATACCTAAATAAGTGGGGGGGGGCAAAATTTTCCTCTGCCCTGGACGGCTGACACCCACGGTATGCCACTGATTAATATATAAGGACTTGAATAAGTTCTTGTTGTTTTTTTGTGAAAATTAACACTTTATTTAAAAAAAGTCATAATAAACATGTCACTGAAAGTATTCACCATCGCTAGCCACTACTTTCTCCCATCATTCTGGCAGCATTTGAATTCTGTGTTGGAAAAACGACACATCTTTTGAGGCTATCTAAGAATCAACCCATTTTTTGGCATCTTCATAAGAATGGAAGTGCTGTTCAGCCAGGCCATGTGCCATTGATTGGAACAAGTGATAATCAGAAGGGGCAATGTCTGATGAATATGGCGGGTGGGGTAGGACTTCCCATTTAAGCGTTTCCAAGTATATTTTCATTGGTTGTGCAACATGCGGCCAAGCACTGTCATGTTGCAAAATCACTTTGTCATGTCTCTGCTCATATAGCTGCCATTTTTCCTTCAATGCTTGGCTCAAACACATCAATTGTAGTCGATAGCAATCTCCCATGATGGTTTCGTTTGGTTTGAGCAGCTCATAATAAACTACACCTAGCTGATCCCACCAAATGCAGAGCAGAAGCTTCGAACCATGGATATTCGGCCTTGCTGACGATGTTGATGCATGGCCGGGCTTTCCCCACAATTTTCTATGCATAGGGTTATTGTAGTGTATCCATTTTTCGACGCCTGTCATGATACAATGCAGAAAACCTTTCCTTTTCTGCCGTTGAAGCAACTGTTCACATGTGAAAAGATGCCATTTGACGTCTCTCGGCTTCAACTCGTATGGCACCCAATGTCCTTGCTTTTGAATCATTCCTAATCCTTTTAAACATTTTGAAACTGTTGTGTGATCAACTCCTAATGATTCTGCAAGTTCAGCTAGCGTCTGACATGAGTCTTCATGAAGTAACACTTCTAATTCCTCGTCTTCAAACTTTTTTGGTGCGCCAGATCGTTCTTTATCTTCAACATCAAAATCATTATTTTTGAAGCGTCTAAACCAATCTCTGCATGTTGTTTCTGACAGAGCATGGTCGCCATAAGTCTCAACAAGAATTCTGTGTGCTTCAGCTGCAGATTTTTTTTTAATAAAATAGTGCAATAAAATTCCCCACAAATACTTTTTTTTTTTGGCACGAAACTCGACATGTTTAACACAATGAAAAAAATAAGTTATTTACACTTCAGTGAAATGACATATACTGAATTTGAAGGTCACTTATTGTACTTCCTTACAGATGCATCACCATCTAAAAATAAACACACGTGGTTCTGGTAATGCCATCTGTTAAAAAACAGCGAGAACTTATTCAAGTTCCCTATAATTCACTTAAAATTTATATCGTATTACTTATTTTAAATTATTATCATCAAGAAAAGTTTAATAAATATTTTAAATAAGAAAGATGATTTTGGAGGATACAGGTATACATCATATAGATCATCACATCAGTCATAATAATGTGAGATCTGGAATTTTTATAAACCAAAAAAATTTAATTATTTTCACTTCTGTTATATAAGGGATGGGCTAGAAAACAGTCTTAGCTGAGAACATTTGAAACCCTTCTTCCATAACTATCAACATTCCATTGTTCACACACAGCCTGCAGCTCGACTTGCACGAAAGTTTATAGTTAGCATCCAAATTTCATCACTTGTTTTGGTCCTGGGAACACCTATAACCTTTATCACCTATAACAATCGATTACATGACCGATTTTCCCAGCAAAAAGCTATAAAAGATGATGTCGGTCAGGCTTTCGTTACGAGACTCCCCGTCTCTTAACGAAAGCCTGACTGACATCATCGGATACCGTCTAGGAGAATCTCAAAACCCGCCGCAACTCGGAATCTCCAACATCGATATCGTTTGTCGCCACAGTTGTGAACTTTTATACTTGTGCCAATTTGGGATACCTAAGAACACTTCTTGGATATCTGTGTGCCATTAATGGACTCGAATTGCCATAGAAACCTATAAAGAGGTATGCAACCCCCTGTAAACTCTCTCTCGAGCCCTTAAGCGTTTTAGCATCAAAGTTAGTATTTGTAATTCCTGTCTTGTTTATTTTAATAAAACTTGTTTTAGTTGTTAAATGGTGTCTTCCTTTACTCATATACTGCCTTCGCCTTATTGTCGACCCCGAATACTCTCCCTACACTCGACAGAGGAAAAGCATTCCTGACCCTCGGGACTATAAATTGTAACTAGCCATCTTGACAAGTGAGGAGATTTAACGACCTGTTGCCGGAAAGGGAGGTGCGACAGCCTCAGACCTCCCTGGAGATGCACAATAATGTAATAAAACAATTACTGTAATGTAAAAACTGTGTAATGAAAAATTAGTAAGCCACTTTATACTACAGAATTCAGCTTTTGTAGTGTTTTGAATGTTCTTAAAAACGCTTCCAACTAGAATTTTGATATTACTAGATAAAATATAGAAATTCCAGTGATAGGAGCATCAGTTAATCAGGACAGTCATTTATTCAGACAAGTCTTAACTCTTTAAACATGAGAAAAAATCCTCCAAAATCATCTTAATTTGTTCAAGATAAAATTGACTGAAAGGAAATATGTTTGAATGGTTTTGCTGTACAAATTCCTCTTGTAGTCCTAAGGAGTAAAAACAATTTCATCTCCAAGTACATAGAAAGAAGAAATTTTCAGAGCTAAAAGAGTTAAGGACTAAAAAGAAATTACAAAAATAATCAGAATTTGTTTATTTGGGATACCATATTGTTTAATTGGGCCAGTGATTGCTAGATTGCATGTTCTTATGATTTGTGAAATGGAAACCATTACTGAATAAGTCATTGCCAATTTACACAGTAATAAACACATGTATATTCAAGCAGTATAGCAATTCTGTTTGCCATGCACTAAGCATAACGAAACATTTCAAAAATGGAAATATTATGGTGTTCTGCCATAGATTCTGATATGTTTTCAAATTGTTGGAATATTTCTTTTATCATTCTCTCTTTGTCTTTCTTCTTGTTTTGTATGAATTTTGTTGAATTGATAATTTTCCATTGTTTTCCTTCATGAAGCATGATCCCATTTGTTATATATTTTGTGTTCAGATTTTGTTGATCAGCTGGTCATGTGTGTGCAGTCTTCCCTGAGACATTGAAGTCTGAAAGTGGTATCAAAGGTGGGGTGGCATCATTCTTCACCTTTAACAACCAAACTTATCTGCAAAACAGAGGCATTCCAATTCCCAGAGGCAAATTGCCTGAAAAGGGTAGCCCCCTTTCAGGCAACACCATAATATGTGAAATGGTAGTGAGGGAAATAGAAAGCAAAATTTTAAACAAAATTGAGCCAAATATTCTACTATACATATGTTATGTCAATAACATCTCAATCATATGGAAATATAAAAGTAACATACACAATATATTATAGGAATTCAATAACAATCTGTATGGCTGTACATTAAGGCTAGAGCAGGAAAGTGACACTGAGACCCACTTCCTTGACCACCACATTCAATTCAAGAATGGCCATATGTTTACCAAGGTGTACCTGCCACATTCCTAATTTATAACACCCTCCTTCATACCATAAGCATCTAATGATCCCTATATTTATAAGGTAGCAGCATTTAAGGTGCTAATAAAAAGAGCATATATGCATTGCTCTAATATCAAAGACACTATGCAAGAGTTAGAACATATAAAATGTATTGCAGTAGAGCATAGTTACAGTGGTAAACTAATACCTATATTTTTTCATTTGGTTTTTCTTTATTGAAGTCCCAATTAAACATTTTTCATGTGATTTTCTTTGAATTTATGATCCCCACTTTTTGTAGATTCACTTAAAGTGGTAACTTTTTCATCCTAGTTAGCCACATTAAATGAGTACCCCCCCTGTATGATGCTATTTCATTCAGTCAAAATGTATATTAACATTACATTATATTATTTTTTATTTGTAAAGTTCCTAAGTAATAAATTCTTAATTTTGTAGGAAATTAGTTTTATTGATGATAATTGTAATTTACAATGATTAATTGTTAAAACAAATTTTATTTTAATAATTTTATTATGATATTCATTTCAACTGTTTTGTTTATGAATTAATCAGGGCATAAATGGAGCACCAGGATTAAAAGGTTTTAAAGGTGAAACTGGAGAACCAGGATTTATAGGACTTGCTGGACTAAAAGGAGAAAAAGGAGATGAAGGTCCAAGAGGATTCTCAGGAACACCTGGACTTATTGGATTAATTGGTATTTTTTTACTTATATTTTTATAAAAATTATTCTAAAAATTATCTTATTTATTCTAATAAATGGTGCCTTCTAATAGTAAGCAGGCTGTCTATTGGAGGAAGAAAGCTTATTTTAAATTGAAACTTTTTCAGTTTAAAGTAAGCTTTGCACAGTTGCTCAGTTTACTCAATGTTGTCACTCTTATCCAGGCCAGTTTTGGACTGTTAGCTGCCTGCGTGCTACAGATATTTGGCCACCCCTATCAATTTTGATTGCAAGTAAATTCGTAATCTAACCCAACCCACGAAAACCTACTGGTATATTTTATGACAATTTCATACAGTTGACAGTGGTAAAAAAAAATCCATAAAATATTTCATATATATCTATTTTATTTTTATTCAAATCAAGTCACCCCATAGAAAACAGGCACCTTATTCAGTTATATTTTAGCACCGTCATAAAATAGAATTTGCAAATTAAAATGAAATTAATTTAAAAAGATTTTTCTTATTTAGAATATAAATATAATATACAGTATATGTATGTGTAAATAAAAATTAATTTAATGTGTATAACAATTAAAACAATGATGTAAGTATTGCTTTAAGATTAATGATACAGGAATAAAACAATGAAAATTAAGAATAAACATAAATCTTGTATCTATGTTACTTAAGTGTAACCTTAAACTTAATCGTAAGACATTAGCATAAATAAAGTTTGGAGCTTGCAAACTTTAAAAGTTTACAAACTCAAAGTTTTTATGCTTTTTATGTGATTTAAAACAAGAAACAATTTTAGTGGTTATGAATTTCCACTGATGAATTTTTCTCTGGTTCAATGGATGAATCCCCCATCACCTGTTACTTGCACTTTTAAGTTTTCTGATGCAAAACACCTAACATGTACACCTAACTTTTATCCATTATCTGCACAGCTATATCATCAGTACTCAGGCAAACATCAATCTATTTCATTGCCAACCATTATATTAAAATAATATTAAATTATATTTGAATTTTATTTTTTAAGTGCACTGTCAACTTTCCTAGAAATTTGGCCACTTGTGGGCATGCACACCTATCAAAACCAGCCCTGCTCTTCAGTGGTGTGCCATGACATTTGATGATAGGGAAGCTGTGTTTCTGTAAGAAGTCAACTTCCAGGGGCAATCAGTCAGTGACGGTCTAGGGTCCATTTGTATTCGTTTGTTCGATAAGCCAGTAAAAACCGTAGACTTCTCTAAATGTATTTTTAATTAATAGATTATCTAATGCACTTAATAAATAAGCAAGTTCAATATAATTAACTCTGTTATATTAGATTTAATAGATTCTCTATGTGCTCTAAACGCCAATTGTCTCTTCGATAACATCTACTAATTAAAATATAATATATCTATTAGCCGTAATTATCTCGTTATAATTTTCAATATTTATTTTATATCATGTACTAATGTTAAATTCTATTCTATTTTGATTTCCAAAATGCTTCAATTTTACGAAAGAATCGATGGAGATTTATGATTTTCGTGTCTTTTGCCAGCTTTACCCAAATTATTTAAATCGTCAAAGCCAATCTCATTCCACACACTAATTTTATTTGAAAATAGTAGGCAAGGCCAACAAAACAATTTTTGCATTGTTATGCATCCACAAAGCCATTTTATATCTTCATAAATTTTATGGTGAAAATGTCAAACAAATTTTTTTCTTGACGTATTTATATTTAATTTAGGCATTGGTCTTTCTCTTTTAATAATGTTTTCTTTTTCATTATACGGCCTCGAGCCAAAACTTTTTGAAATAAATTTTCAATATCACAATTACATTCTAAATCACTAGCCATAATATAAGGGCTAAAATTAAAAATAAAATTATAAAAACTTACTCAGTGAAATAAAATGTGTGATGGATATACAATTATACATACCTGGTACAAAATATTCAATTGTCTGAATATACTTTTAAAGAAAATTATAAATATAGTTTTGTGAAGAAACGTACATAAAAATAACATAAAATAGTCTTTACTTTTTAAATATTAAAACAATCCACCTAGTTAAAATTGCTCTCTACCAGTGGATCGTGGATGGAATCGGAGACGGTCTTTGGTAGGTATGCGGTGCGTGCACGCTTGCCAAATCCCGAGGGTGCCGATACTGGTTAATGTCAAATGCCTCTTTTGTCTCATCATTAGTATAACTCAAAGGATGCGACGAGGTTGTAAATTCTAAACGTTTCTCACCATAGCTATAAAAATCTAAATTTGTTAAACTTAAAAGTCATTTGTTTTCTAACTAATTTGTTTTAAGACCGGGTGTCCACAAAAATTTTCAAAATTTACAACTTTTAGTCACTTTCATTGAACTGGAAAAATTTCTGTCTTTATTACATCTAATATTACGAAGAAATCAGTCCACACTGTACTCAGCTAGAGATTGGTTCGGTTAAGCTTTTGTTTAAGTAAAATTCCGACTCTTTTGGCAGGGTTTTATTTGTGTTTCCACTTCCCTAATCACTTAATTATTTAACTACTTAAGTAGAAATAAGTCGAAACCAGTTACTTTGTACTCCAATATTTCTAGTCTTGGGGAAAAAAGTGGATAGATAAATTTTTACGACAATGGATACATAAATCGTAAATTTAAGGAAAATAAATTCTAGAGCTTTTTCTGTACCTCGTGCATCTTTCTCATTCATTAAATTTAGTCGTAAATGACGCTGTCAAAGTAACAGTTAATTTTTTAACATTACTGTATACAAGAATTTTACACGTTTTTTTCTACANATACATAAATCGTAAATTTAAGGAAAATAAATTCTAGAGCTTTTTCTGTACCTCGTGCATCTTTCTCATTCATTAAATTTAGTCGTAAATGACGCTGTCAAAGTAACAGTTAATTTTTTAACATTACTGTATACAAGAATTTTACACGTTTTTTTCTACATCCCCTTAAAGATGGGACGTACGAAATCGTAATTTCACTGGTTTAACATTGAAATCTGTGAGTAATATAAAATCGGACAGCGGAATAAAAATATCAAATATTTTAATGGAGTTTTTTTAACTCCTGTCAACTATACAGAACTATCGTAAAAATGTACCAGTAAATTCTTATCGGTCGGGTTAAGTTATAAATCTACTCATTATTCGCGTAATCAGGCGAGGGCAGCCAAATATCTAGCGGGTGAGCGGCTAACGGCCCAGAACCGGTCCCGGATAGAATTGGATGTGGTTGCATCCAACTCTATCCTCGGGTGAATGCAACACGCATCCACCCGAGGTCCTAGGCTTCCATCGGCTAAACCAGGTGAGGTTGGTGCTCCATAAAGCGTGTGCATGAATCTGGTTTTTTTGGATACTGATGATACAGCGTTTCCACTCTGCTACTCCGCCATTAATATTCAAATATACAATAGTGATCTTATCTTTTTTTCCACGTGTAGTATAGAAATTTGTAATAAGATACATAATGCGGTTATAATAAAATATTGTGTGATTATTTTCGTATAATTAAAATTAATATGTATTTATTTTTTAGAAAATACAAGGGAAGCGGCGCATCTACCACTTCCAATGACGGCACACCACTGCTGCTCTTACCATAAGTTGAAATAAAGTGTGTGTGTTGTGTTGCATTGTTGCTCAAATAACAATACAGTAAAATAGTTACAGATTTATTCCATTAATAATTGCTCTCTGATAGTAAATGCTCTCTGATAGTAAATGCTCTCTAATAAACAATACAATTGGAAATTGAAAAAAATTAGACAACATTCTGTTTATTAGAATAAATATTCAATTCTGTATTGTTTTAACTTTAGTTTGTTACAAGGAGTTAAGTGATATATATTTTTTTTATTTACTTGAATTATAATTATTCTATAGGTGATAAGGGTGAAGCAGGAGAGCCAGCAGCTATTAGTGAACCATATAAAATTCGTGGACCACCTGGAGCTCCAGGGCCACAGGGTCCACCTGGACCACAGGGATATATGGGAATACCTGGTACTCTAGGTCAAGATGGATTTCCTGGAATAAAAGGTGCTATTGGTCCACAAGGCCCAAATGGACCAATTGGTTTTCCTGGAAGAAAAGGAGAAGCTGGAGATTCTGGAATAAATGGTAAATAAATGTAATTTGTATTCATATAATAAAGAAAATAAAACAATTAATAAATTTTAAATATTTCATATTTTGGAATCACATCAAAACATAATTTGTTTTCTATAAATACAAAACAAAACATAAATGAATTAATCTTAATTCATAAATGAAATCTGCTATCTAATTTTCTGTATCTTCATACTGATAATCTGATATCCATAAAAAAAAGTCAGTTTGAGACCAGGTATGGGGTTATAAAATAATAGAGATTTAGAGATTACCTATCCATTTTTAAATTTGAAACTTATTATGGGATACTTAAACAGCTTTTCCTTTATTATTAAAAAGTTTCTTGCCTGTATTATTTAATTACAAAACTACTTAGTTACTTATAACTAATGAACAACAGGCTTATTACACATTCAGCCTATTTAATTAGCTTATCCAAAATGCATTTCAGCCTTACTGGCCCTTATAAATTGGATGACATACAAAAAACAGAGTCTATGGTGATAATTGCCAACATTACAAATTATTATATACACCTTTGTAGGGCAGAGGGCACCACTGTGTGATCTTTGCAGTCTGACCTCACGTGGCTTCCATACTCCAACAAGGAGAGAGAACTTTTCACTTTATGTTAGTTAACCTTTTGGAGTCGACAGTAGTGACGATCTTGGATTTGTATTATATCTCAACACCATTGTAAATATCACATGCCTGATTCAGATAAAATAAAGTATTCGTCTGGATCAGTTTCTCAGTTAATCTTTGCCGATGAACAAAGGACGCAGAACACATGGTCGAGGTCAATGTGGGCATCACGGACAAGGTAGGACATAACCCGGACCAATTCCGCCTAGCATTAAAACGTGCCACGTACAGATTAGCCACACCGCTAAACCTTAATAATAGGGTTCTAAATTATCACTAGGACAGTAACACAACAATACTAAACAAATCCAGTAAAAACCTTGTGAATAGTCCTCCTGTCTTCTTTATGGTTGTGGTAATTTTCTATTCTTATGTCTACACCATATTTGTAGGGTATGCTGGTTCAATTTCCTTTTCTTGATTTTTATTTTCGTTTGGATTATTTTGGACACATTTTTCATTACAATTATGGATGATCCTATACATGTTTTGGTCTTGATATACAGATTCACAAAATTCATTTAATCAGCACTTTGAATACAATAATACTGCAACATATGTTTAAAGTGTAGTACCGTAGTGTACCGAAATACGTTAGCGTGGAGATTAAGAATAGAAAAGACAGCACAAATTGACAAAACACTGAACATATTTAATTTCACGAACATACACATCTGAGGTTCACACACGATTTTTGTTTCGCGAGGGGGCTCTCGTCACCCCTTTGATCCGGACACAAGAATACGACGGAGTTATCTAACATAAAATCCCGACGCGACAATTAGGAATCGCTGCAATCACACATAAATTGCCCGACGCGACAATTAGGCTTAGTTCTTTATAACTTGATAATTGGACTGTTCTTACGTGGCAGATGATCTTGATACATGCTGAAAGTCTCTCCTTTAGTACACGATTGTCCTCCTTCCACGTGGTCCTTTCTTCTTTGTTCTTCACCTTCCTTCCTCTGCCAACGACCCGACACGAACCCAGGTGAAACGAAGAAAAAAGTCCTCTAAGCACGTGGTCTTTCCTTTTTATAACCCGCGCCATGTCCTGACGAGGGAACATACGTCATGGCAGGGGAGCCAATCACAGGCTCGCACTACTACACCTCAAGAAGTGGTACGAACTTTACGGAAACAGTCTACAATTACCAATGCGCGACAAAATACAGTATATAGATACATATATATTTAATGATAACATACAAACATTTAGTGGAAAACACTACATATTTCCCCCTCTTTAACTCAATCCGGAATGTAACTTCCGGTAGTCTACCCTCCTACCCCTAAGGTTGTAAGGGTTTCTTCCTTCATCCTTCCTCATCTCAGACGCTACCTCGTTTTCTGTGACCCTCCCTTTCTTTATTATGTCGTCTAAATTCACGCACATCCACACATTCCTCCTCCTCATCCAAATCTATGTTTATGTCCTGTCTTTCGTGCCGTAGGATCCTCCTCCTCCTTCTTTTTTTCAGGTTGCAAACAACCGTAGCATGGTTTTAGACGATCTACATGAACCGTATCTAAGTCTTTCTTGTTGCAACCTTGCACCTTATATGTTGTAGTATTTATTCTTTTAATAATTCGAAAAGGCCCTAGATAATTTGGGGCAAACTTGTCTTTCTTCACACCTTTACGACGCACCCAAACCCTTTGTCCTTCCTTGAAAACTATTAGATTTCTCCCTTTATTTACATAAGTACGATTTTTCTCTTGTCGAGACTCTGCCTGCTTCTCCGACAACTCCCTAATGGCACGTAACTTAGTAAGGAGGAATACCCTCCGTTCGTCGGTTGTCATGCTATTCGGCACGTGTTCCATGGATGGAGTCCGTGGATCTATACCGAAAAGGAGGAAGGCTGGGGTTTCATTAAGGCTTGAATGATATGTGTTGTTATGAGCGAAACACGCTGCCGGGATCAGATCGTCCCACTCGACATTATCCTTCTCACTCGATTTAGCTATCATTTCTGCAAGTGATCTGTTTGCACGTTCACAAATCCCATTTGCACACGGCCTATATGCAGTTGTAATATTTCTCCGTATACCTAGCCAACTGCATATATCAACAAAAAGGGTAGACAAAAAATTCGTTCCTCTATCCGACATGATGATTTCTGGGATCCCGTATCTACAAATGATCTGGTCAAAAATTACATTACTAATGGAATACGCTGTTTGATCCTTTACAGGGTAGGCCTCAATGAAGCGTGTGCACACATCTACAATGACTAGTATAAAGCGATTCCCTTTTCCTGATGTTTTGATCGGGCCAATAATGTCTATGGCAATTTTTTGGAAGGGAACACTTGCCCCTTCATTACTCTGGAGGGGGGCCTTGCCTTTATGCACGTTATGTCTCTGGCAATTAGGGCATTCTCTTATAACCTCCTCCACTACCCGTTTTACATTTTTTATGAAGTAACTCCTCTCAATAATTTTTAAGGTCTTCATCACTCCCCAATGCCCCATAAGCTGGTTTTCGTGGATCGCCTTAACAAGTTTCTTAGCTAGATTCTCCCCTACACACACTCTATTAACACAACTATTCCTAGCTTTCCAATAGAAGTTTTTATATAAACAGTTGTTTACTAAGGTATAACCTTGAAAATTATTTCCTGAACTACTCCCACGAGAAATGTCTCTTTTGATGGGCCCGAACAGGCTATCACTATCTTGCGATTCAATTATTTCTCCTTCTATGGGGATCCTTGTGGTACTATAATCGATTTCAAATTGATTCACCCCATTGATGCTACGTGAGAGGAAATCTGCAACCTTGTTATCAGCACCCCTTACATGGCTGACCTCGATATCATAGTCAGCCAGTTCCATCACCCATCTTGTAAGACGTCGACTGCCGTTGTTGATAGTTCTCAAAAAACTCAAGGGTTTATGGTCAGACAGGATTATCGTGGCACAGTTTTTTTTATACCTCCGCGCCACGTACCTGACGAGGGAACCTACGTCATGGCAGGGGCCAATCACGGGCTCGCACCACCACATCACAAGAGGTGGTACGAACCTAACGGAAATTTTACAATTAATAACTTGCGACAAGAACGAAAAATATATATTTATATATAACTAATGATAAAGTACAAATACTTAGTGAACAAACACTACATATCTCCCCCCCTTTTAACTCAATCCGGAATGTAACTTCCGGTAGTCGACCTTCCTACCCCTGAGGTTGTAAGAATTACCTCCTTCATCCTTCCTCATCTCAGATACTATCTTTTTTTCCTTAACCGCCCTTTCCTTATTATGTCGTCTAACTTCACGCACATCTACACATTCCTCCTCCTCATCCAAATCTGTGTTCATGTTCTGTCCTTCGTGCTGTAGGATCCTCCTCTTCCTTTCCTTAGGTGGCAAACAACCGTAGCATGGTTTTAAGCGATCCACATGAACCGTATCTACGTCCTTCTTGTTGCAACCTTGCACCTTATATGTTGTAGTATTTATTCTTTTAATAATTCGAAAGGGGCCTAAATAATTTGGGGCAAACTTATCCCTCTTCACACCCTTACGACGCACCCAGACCCTTTGTCCTTCATTGAAAACGACTAGGTTTCTTCCCTTATTTACATATTTACGATTTTTCTCTTGTCGAGACTCTGCCTGCTTCTCTGACAACTCCCTAATGGTTTGTAACTTAGTGAGGAGGAATGCCCTCCGTTCGTCGGTTGTCATGCCATTCGGTACAAGCTCCGTGGATGAAGTTCGTGGATCTATACCGAAAAGGAGGAAAGCTGGAGTTTCATTAAGGCTTGAATGGTATGTGTTGTTATGAGCGAAACACGCAGCCGGGATCAAATCATCCCAATCAACATTATCCTTCTCGCTTGATTTGGCTATCATTTCGGTAAGTGATCGGTTTGCACGCTCACAAATTCCATTCGCACACGGCCTATAC